TTCGCGTGATGTCAACGGTGGCCCGTCCCCTCCACCTTCCTCTATTACTCCCCTAGCGCCGCCCAACCACCTCCGGCCGCCGCCGATCAACATCCCACACCCTCCGGCACAATCCCCGCCCAGTGGTCATATGGCACAGCCGTTCGTAAACGGCATCCAGCACCCCTCATCCCCGCGGCGGGTTAGCGGCGGTCCCCCTCCTCCGCCGCCCAACGCGCCGCCAGGCTCATACCATCCGCACCACGGCCACCCCCCACCCGATCATCGACCGCATCACATGCCGCCCATGAATCCGATGCCGCCTGTCGGTATGGCGCACCCCAGCGGTCCGGAGGGTCCGGCCCCGCCTGCGCCGAACTATCTCAGACAGTGGAACCAGAGCCACCCTCATCCCCACGGGCCGCCGCCTCAACATCACCACGGCAGCCCCCCGCCGCCAGGCCCTCCGCCGATGAGAGATGGCCCCCCACCTCTGAGGGACGGTCCTCCGCCTATGAGGGACGGCCCTCCACCTATGAGAGATGGTCCTCCCCCGGTGGCCATGGGGCATCGTGACCAAGGGCTGCCGCAGCATGCGCCGCAACATGCAGTCTCTCAGCAGCATCCACCGCAGCACCCACACCCACATCAGCATCAGCATCAGCACAGGGAGAATAGGCCTGCGAGTGGTGCGAGTGCCAGCCCGTCATTGAGAAATTTACTTTCATAGGATTTAACAGATCCTGGTACGAATAGGGCAGGATTGGCTGGGTAGTTGGCTTGGACTGTTGTGAGATATTGAGGGGACCACGATGTGAGAGGATAAGGGAATGGGCCGTGACCTTCGCAGGGTTCCAAAACCGCCTATCCTGTTCAGACTCCTTGCCGAGTTCGAGGAGGCGTAATTCATGGTGGACATTGTACGATAACTGTATTTTATGTCTGTTTTTTTGCCAATTTTTGTTATACTCTTTTTTAGTTGTTGCTGGGTGGAAAGTGGTGGGGCGGAGCATGGGCATGGCAAAAAGCGTGTAGACTTTGTTTATTATTTTACTTTGCTTCCATTTCTCCTTTCGATTGCGATTTTTTCCTTATAGTGGAATTGGGGGAGAAAGCGTGAAAGCGAAGGTCAGGATATGATATATACCAATGGGCTAGTGCTGGAAGGGTGGAAGGGGCGGGTGATGGCAGGCGGGCGCGTGTTGGCAGGTTTGTCCTTTTCTTGCCTCAAAGGGGGAAGAGGGTGTTGCAAGGCGGCTGGTTGCATGTCTGGTACCGCGAGCGGTATCACCACCGTTTCTGTGGTTGGGTTTAGTTTTTGGGGGAGATACGAGTGGATATGGTTCTGGGTTGCTTGGTAGGCTACGGTAATAATCACTGGCCTCAGGTTGAATGAAATTTTGACTGTTATTGTGATGTATTGAGCTGTCTTTGCTGTCAACTGCTATGGGATATTCCAATGAGGTGACTTTTGAGGAAGGGCACAATAATACCCGCCAAGTGGAGATGGTTCACATGTCAGATGCAGCCAGCCTTGCTTGGACTTGGTTGTTTGTGGACTGGCAAGACTGGTTCATTCCTCAGGAACGGGCGCCGACAGTACTAAGCCACTGAGGCAAAAACCGCCGGGGGGAGAGACTGTGGAAGCAAGGTTGTGCTTGTTAGATGGGAGAGGAACAAAGGAAAGGTGGCGATGTATGTGAGTGGCTAAGAATTGAAAATTTGTTTGAAATAGAAAGCAAGTCACCCCGTCATCTAGGTCCTTATTCAGATGAAAGGCAAAAGGCACAAACATCGGCAGGGGGATGGCGGGGTCGGTTGGTTTGTCCACAGCTTCCCCGTTTGTCCATCTTGTAACTTCCTATCTTTGGGTTGGGTCGCCAGGCTGCGCAGCCTTGCTGCCCATGGGAAATTCAAGCAGAGATTGTGGTTTATCGGCTGCCCGCCATTTAACTAGCTTTTGGTTGTTCCATTTCCCACAGAATAAGGTAGTTCGATGATTCGTGTATCTTTGCGAAGTGGTCTCACAGAGAGCATGTGCACATCATGGCAGAAATGTTTAGATACTACTCGACTCAATTGCCACTTGAGAATGACGAACCTCATCGTTAGTCTAATTTTAGGCCAAGCCTGGTGATGCTGAAACGGCCCCACGACGGGCAGCCACGGTCAGCGGGGCATCCCAGCTGCCCAGCATTTGGACTTCCACGCCCGTCCGCCTTGGCCGGCTTTGGAAGGCTGAGCTAGGTTGGTACTGCTGGACTCGAGTCAAAACGCGCACAGACAGGGGTAAGGCCAGGTACCGTGTTAATAACACCAGCCACACTCCAGAGTCTTCGATTGATTTCCATCGGGAGGGGCTGAATGGCCCAGTGGAGGGAAGGCGGCGAGTCGATTGGAAACCGAAGAATTTCAGCCTCCTTCCATGCGCTGCACTTTCATAAGCATCCAGATTCTTTGGTTGCCGCTCGACTGTGACCCTTGTTGGACAATCGTCTTCCTTCTTTAAGAACCAGACAGAGTTGAAAGGCTCAATATTCGGACGGTTTCTCACCAAGTGCATCGAATTTGCACCAACAGAACTGTTTCTGCCTGGCCTGGTAGGTGTATTTCCCAACTTCGCTGCGCTTCTTTTCTTGTCGGACCCTCGGCAGAATCCTCGAGACTTTTCGCTGCGCCAACCCCCGGCTTCGCACTCTCCAGATCCCCCGCCAGGCCCTCCGGAAGCATTTCTTCTTCCCCCCCGGAACACCACACTCGTCTCCCATTTCACTTCCGGAACCACATTGCTGACCTTTCCCTGGTTCCAAGATAACCAAGATTCCGATTTTCCCTCGGTTTCTCTTGTACATCCCCGCCATCCCGCGTCAGGCCCCAGTTGATCCCGGCAGCCTCGAAATACACGATACCGGCACGACACACTACACTTTTCTCGAATAAACAGACAAGATGGTCAAAGAGACGGGATACTACGATGTGCTTGGCGTATGCATACCCAACTCCAAAGTACCTCTCGACACTAGCAATGAGCTAACCTTCTGCAACAGGTCTCGCCAAATGCCACAGAGCAGGAGTTGAAGAAGGCGTACAAGACAGGCGCTCTTAAATACCACCCTGGTATGGCTCTCAATACTACCCATTTTTCTTAGTGTTCACACTAATTTTTGCATACAGACAAGAACCACAACAATCCCGCTGCCGAGCAGAAGTTCAAGGAGATCTCCCATGCGTACGAGATCCTGTCCGATTCCCAGAAGCGCCAGGTATACGACCAGTTTGGCGAGGCCGGCCTGGAAGGCGGTGCCGGTGGAGGTGGCGGCATGGCCGCCGAGGACCTCTTCGCCCAGTTCTTCGGCGGCGGCGGCGGCCTCGGCGGCTTCGGGGGTATGTTCGGCGGCATGAATTCCCAGCGCGGTCCTTCGAAGGCGAAGACGATCCACCATGTTCACAACGTTTCCCTCGAGGACATCTATCGCGGAAAGGTCTCAAAGCTGGCCCTTCAGCGCTCTATCATCTGCCCCAAGTGCGAGGGCCGTGGTGGCAAAGAGGGCGCTGTCCGGAAATGCGCAGGCTGCGATGGCCACGGTATGAAGACGATGATGAGGCAGATGGGGCCCATGATTCAGCGCTTCCAGACGGTATGCCCGGACTGCAGCGGTGAGGGCGAGATTGTCAAAGACAAGGATCGCTGCAAGCAGTGTTTCGGCAAGAAGACGGTAGTCGACCGCAAGGTCCTCCACGTCCACGTCGACCGCGGCGTCCGGAGCGGGACCAAGGTCGAGTTCCGTGGCGAGGGTGACCAAGCCCCTGGTATCCTCGCTGGCGATGTCGTCTTCCAGATCGAGCAAAAGCCTCACCCACGCTTCACCCGTCGGGAAGACGACCTCGTCTATCAGGCAGAAATCGACCTCGTCACGGCACTGGCTGGCGGTACTATTTATGTCGAGCATCTTGATGATCGATGGCTGAGCGTTGACATTCTCCCCGGCGAGGCGATTGCTCCTGGTAAGTTACACTCCGCCTGTGGCTCGCGAAAAGAATCCTTACTAACTCTGTCCGCAGGCACTGTCAAGATGATCCGTGGCCAAGGCATGCCCGCCCCCCGCCATCACGACTTTGGCAACCTCTTCATCCAGTTCGCGGTCAAATTCCCCGAGAAGAACTGGACCCAGGATCCTGCTGCGTTCGATGCCCTCCGAAAGTTCCTTCCCTCGCCTGACCTCGTCAACACTCCTCCTGCCGAAGCCATGTCGGAGCCCGCCGATCTCGAGGACGTCGACAGCTCTTCGAGGGGCTTCTCCGGCGCTATGGAAGAAGATGACGAACATGAGCACCACGGCGGCGAGCGGGTCCAGTGCGCATCCCAGTAAAAGATATAGAACGAAAAAAGGGAGTGGGAATGTCCACTCCCTGTTGTGCCTATTATCTACTTTGAGATTAACGGGCGATTAATGAGCGGGACACGCTTAGTATGGGCATCTTCAATGGTAGATGCACGCGGCGGGTCTTCTGATTAATGAGATACGAGGTGGCGAGGAGCAGGGAGGGTACATGGAAAATACCCCAGGGAAAGAACCAGACAGGGAAGCATAGAGCCTCTCTTGGGCATGCATGAAGGGTTTTTTTCTCAAGCTCATTTTCTTACTTGGCACCCACAACACTCTTGGCAAGGCGGCGTTCTCGAGAGGATAGAGAGGCATTTGGCTTTCCTGTGGCGGCAACTCGCTCTGCCGCCTGGATCTTTCTTTTTCTTTTAGCGAATGAATCGGGCATTATGGGAGTCGCTTGGTCTTGCTCTGGGGTGTGTTTGGAATTGTGAACCGTATCGAGAGGAAGAGTTTTTTCAAAGATCTACTCTCAGACACGGCCCATGTTACCTGGTGCCGTTCCCATATAGATACTCATGAGAATAACACCCCCTGAGTCTTAGGTATACTAAACAAAATACTTTCAATAGTTGTCACTGTGTTGCTCGACCTCGGCGCCTCAGGGTGGCCCGGATTGGCTTCTTGTCATGATCACATTTGCAACCACACGCGACTTGAACAAAACTCTCCTCTTATTACTCGGTCTCCCGTTTGCTCAGTCAAAGTCCGAGAGCTTGCGTAGCGTTTCGGTAGAATACAACAGCTTCTGCAGCTCAGTGTCACTGATGTCGATGTCTCCTCCCGCGGGAAGATTCTCAACGTCGGTCTGCCGCCAGCCCGTCTCCTCCTTGTCCAGTGCGATGAAGGAGGAGGGACTGCTGCTTCCCTCGGCAGAACCGTTGGGATAGACAGCGACGAGGAGGCGTGGTGTCGCCCCCGGCGCCTCAAGCGCTTCAATGTCGAGCGGGTTGCCTGGCGTGGAGATGGTCTCGCGGTGCTGGAGGGTGTTGTCCTCGAGGAGTTCGTAGCGGAAGAGCGCGGGGACGCTGGAGGGGTATTAGTAACGGGCAGTTAACCGACAGCGACAGCAAAACGGGGAGTAGAAAAAACATACCGCTCCACAACAACAAACACCCCCACCCCACCTTCCCACCCACACGCGAACACCCTCGTCACAGCCACTTTACTCACTCCCGCCTCCCCCCCCTCACCACCACCACCCACCACCCCCTTCACATGCTCGAGCACGCCCGCCCTTCCCAGCAACCGGCCCTCCGCCCAGTCCCACACAAACAGATCATCATCGCCGCCGCCCGAGATCAGCACCCCGGCGCGCCCGCCGGGGGCCACGCACAGGCGGCTCACAAAGTCCTCGTGGCCGAGGCAGAAGCGCTCGATGACGTGCGCCTGCGGCATGCCGCGCGACACGCGGATGTGCTCGTCGCGGTCCGCCGTGAGGATGTACTCCCTGGCCCGCTCCCCGCCTTGGCCATCGTCATTGGGGACGGTGGTGCTAGCGACGGCGATGGCGGTGAGCATGGAGACGTTGCTCGAGGAGGAGGGTCAGCTCGAACTGTGGCCGGCTGAGCTGCTCCTCTAGGGCGCGGCGGCTGAGGGAGATCTTTTGGTGCTCGAGGGCTCTGAGGTTGCGTTTGGTGTGCACGGTGAGTGCGGTCGCTTGCGGCTTGAAGAGGTTGGGGGTTGCGGTGGAGGGGGTGGTGCTCGCGCTGCGGGATTCGTCGAGCCCTGAGGCGGGTGGTGAGGGGGCGGACGGGGTGGTTGCGCTTGCTGTGGCCGAGGTCGTGGTTGGGGGGATGGGAGAGGGAAGCAAGGGGAGGGCGTAGACGTCGCCGAATTTGTCGGCTGAGAGGATGGTGAGGTTGTCGCGTGTGAGAGCGAGAGAACAGGGGCGTTTTGGCATTGCTCTGGGTAAGGGGTTAGCTTTGGTGGTGAGGTGGTTTGGGGCCAGGGTTAAGCTTGCCTTTGGCTGAGTTGTTTCAGATTGCCCACGCCGTCGTGCTCAAATACCCAGATCGTCTTGTCGGACCCCGTGACGGCTACTAGGTGACGGCCATCGGTGGTGGCATAGAGCCCTTGGACGAAGGGTCGCTCATTGCCGGGCCCTTGGTGCTTGGCACCCTTGTTGTTCTTTGGCTGTCCGTTTGTGGATTTCGCACGACGGCCTTTTGGACTCTGCTCCTGACCTGGCTCAACTTTCCGACGCTTGATAGGCGGTTCTTCCTGCGCCGGCGACTCTTGAGCCTCAGCGGGGGGGCTATTTGACTCATCCACTTGTTGCGCCGGGTATTTCCAAGTCGACACGTACTCGAGGGCCGAATTGAACGAGTGAATGTCACTCCCTTGTGCGGCAAAGACGGTGCTGCCGCAAACCTTAATAAGATGATACGGCAGAACCATCATGAACTTTTCTTGGAATGAACTTTGTGGTGGTGATGCAATGAGAGAGAATTGCGCATGTGGTTTAACGGTGAGTTCAACTCAACACTTGAGACTCCCAGGTGTAAAACCCAACGTCTTAACCCTTGTATCTGCAAAATCTTAGTCAATGATTGTAGGATCAAGGTGAGATGGGTGACATACCGTGACTCGAGGTTACACATTGGAAAGAAGGTCTGAGTGAAAGCGGCAACGGGACTTGTAAGAAATTTGTTAAATACAAGCCACATGTGGCTGATTCAACCAAATTGTTCAAGCTGCAACCAGAAGAGGTCGTGAAAATAATAATCCTACTCAATTGATATACTATCACTGTATTAATACTGGATTTGAAGTCTTATTTCTTTTGCCTTTCCCCGCTTGCCGCTCGAGTAACTTCTCCATTTCGTTACCTGTACGAAGTACTGTGTATATTCAACTGAGCCACAGCTGAAGTCGAACTTCACCCAAGCGAGAAGTGGGTCTTTATGACCCACGTCATTGGCCGACCCACCTAACCCTACAAAGCACCCCCACAGTTGCAGGTCAATTGTGCGAAATTCTGAGCTTTCTGCTTCGGGAAGTTTTCCGACAAGCAACATCGCCAACTCTCTCAATTTCCTCACCACACCACCATCGCCCTTAAACATCCTACCTTCAAAAGCAAGAAGATATGGGGGGCAAATCAGGAAACAAGGCCGGCTACTTCGACAAGCTGAAGAGCTTGTTGGAGGAGTACGCGTCCATCTTCATCGTCTCCGTCGACAATGTCTCGTCGCAGCAGATGCACGAGATTCGCCAGTCGCTCCGCGGCAACGGCGTTGTCCTGATGGGCAAGAACACCATGGTGAGCAAGCTGAGCAAGCTAGACCCTGGATTTAGTCCACCCCAGCTGTCGGCGGATTTCTAACCGTGATGCAAAACCACAGGTCCGCCGTGCGCTCAAGACCTTCCTTGCCGACTCGCCTGAGTACGAGCGCCTCCTGCCTTTCGTCAAGGGCAACATCGGTTTCGTCTTCACCAACAGTGACCTCAAGGAGATCCGTGACAAGATCCTGGCCAACAAGGTTGCCGCCCCCGCCCGTGCCGGTGCTGTTGCCCCGTCCGACGTGTGGATCCCCGCCGGCAACACCGGCATGGAACCCGGCAAGACCTCCTTCTTCCAGGCTCTCGGTGTCCCGACCAAGATTGCCCGTGGTACCATTGAAATCACCACCGATTTGAAGCTCGTCGAGGCTGGTCTCAAGGTCGGCCCCTCCGAGGCGACCCTGCTCAACATGCTCAACATCTCTCCCTTCACCTACGGTATGGGCATCACCCAGGTCTACGACCACGGCAACGCCTTCCCTGCCGATGTCCTCGACATTGGCGAGGAGCAGCTTCTGAAGTCTTTCTCGTCGGCCATCACCACCGTCGCCGCCATCTCGCTTGCCCTCAACTTCCCCACCCTGCCGTCGGTTATCCACTCCGTCGTCAACTCCTACAAGAAGGTGTTGGCCATCGCCATTGAGACCGACTTCAGCTGGCCCGAGATCGATGAGCTCAAGGACCGTATCGCCAACCCCGATGCGTACGCCGCTGCCGCTCCTGTTGCCGAGGCCGCCGGCCCTGCCGAGACCAAGGCTGAGGAGAAGGAGGAGTCCGAGAAGGAGGAGTCTGATGATGAGGGCTTCGGCGGTCTCTTGTTAGTGACCCTGCGCTTCTTCTGCTTGAGTACATTGCTAACACGGTTAACAGCGACTAAATTTAACCACTCGAGTACGGCGTGTTTGGGCCGACAATGCTGGTTTAGGTCGGGTAAAGGTTCTACGGATCTTTACCTTCGTCTATATAGATCGGTGTTGGTTCAATTTAACCCGTGTTTGGTGGCCACATCGGATTTTCTTCCTTGCGCTGTGATGCTCTGACCGTGTCAGCTGGCTCACCTTGACAACTCAGGTTAGTACCTTTCTTCTCGTCCTTGCAGCCACTGTCGATGATTATGCAAATGATCAAAGAGCTTTTTAACCCTGAATTTCATTGATGAAACCCATCACAACTTTTATGAGACACTTTTCTCTTTTTGATACGTTACATACTTTGCATGAGGTATCAAAACTGACATGAATATCTAGGCCCAATATACATCGCATCCATTTACCCTACAGCTGCCGCTATCTTTGAAGGCTGTACTATGCCTGGTGACATCTCCACCCCGGAATGCTGTAGTACCTGCTGGGCCACCTGAATGGCCTGTTCCGGTAGCCCAGCCAAGCGCGCCACCTTGAGCGCATGGCTCTGCCTGTTGACCCCTTTGCGTAGTTTGTGAACGTAGACAAACCTGCCTTGCTCGTCCTCTTCCACATCTGTGCAATACGCGTCAATAGTCCCATTCGGGCCTCCATCTTCCAACCTGAATCCCGACTTCGCCACCAGATCCGCGATGCCATGGAAGTGGGTTGCGAACAACGCTCGGCACTTGTTGACCGTCACCAAATGGTGCAGCGCTGCGAACGCCACGGCCGTTCCATCCTCGGGCGTCGTGCCCCTACCCACTTCGTCCATGATCACAAAAGACCGCGGCGTCGCTTGCTGGAGGATGGCCGCCGTCTCGAGCATCTCCACCATAAAGGTGCTCTGGTCCTGGAACAGGTTGTCGGCTGACCCAACCCGGCTGAAGATGGCGTCGACGATGCCCAACGACGCGTAGTCGGCCGGCACGTAACACCCAATCTGTGCAAGAATGGTGATCAGCGCATTCTGGCGGAGGAAGGTTGACTTTCCAGCCATATTGGGGCCGGTGATCAGCCAGATCCTGCCGTGGCTCTGCTGTTGTTGCTGTTGCTGCTGCCCCCCCCCATCGTGCGTTGCCGCCGCCACCGCCCTCGCCCCCGGCGCAGAGCCCAGGAAGAGGTCATTCTTCTGAAATGTGCGCCCCTGCTCGGCCAGCCCGCCCTCCACGGTCGGGTGGCGGCCACCCACGATGATGGTCTGCTGCGCGTTGCTCAGCGCGGGCCGCGCGAGCCCTTGCTCTACCGCCAGCAGCGCGAACGACGTCGCAATGTCCAGCTCGTCCAGCACCAGCGCGTTGCGCCGCAGCTTGACCAGGTTGGCCACCACCCGGCCCCGCAGCGCCCCAAACACCCGCTGCTCCTCCCCGCGGATCTGCTGCCGCACCCGGTCCAGCCCCTCCCCCAGCCCCGTCCACTCCGGCTGGTGGAACGTCCGCGTCGAGCGGCTCGATGAGAGCGTGCGGATCTGAGCGTCTGCATCGTCGTCGGTGCCGGCGGTCGGTGGGCTCCGCGCGTCGCGGCCCCTGACGTGGCAGATGTGGCCGAGCCCGGGGGTCCAGCGCAGCGTGAGGGAGCTGGCGCCGAGGCGCGCGCGGAGCGTCTCGGTGAGCGTGTCCTTTTCCTCGCGCAGCGCGGCGAGCTTCCGGTGCAGGCGCTTGAGGAGCGGCGACGCGCCGGGCTTCATGATCCACACCTCGCTGTCCTCGCCGTAGTGGTCGCGGAGGGAGGTCGCCTTCTTCTTGGCGGCGGCGGCGGCGGACTTGGCGACGGCGCTTTTGGGGAGCAGCGCGCTGTCTTCTTCGGTGCCTTCCGTCTTGACGATCTCTTGGGCGAGGGCTATGATCTCGTCCGTTTCGCTGTCTTTGATCTGGTGCTGCTGGACGAGCCCTTCCTCGTCGATGGCGTCGCGGATGTGCTCGGCGAGTTTCAGCGGCTGTTCGAGGCTGATGCGGTCGACCATGGCGGAGAGGGATTTTGCCTCTGAGTCGTTGTCGGGGTGGGGTGGGGCGGCTGTTTTTAGGAGGCTGACGATGTCGTCTGTCGCTTGAAATGGTGACGGCCAGTCGGAGCAGGTCGTCTGCGTCTCCACGGTTGAGCGCAAACTTCTGGGCGATACGCTGCGAGTCGTGGCT